GCTCAGGAAATGACATTGCTATGATCCATAAACCTCATTAATGTTCTATTAGTTCATATGCATTCAACTGTGTATGTCATATGCATGCGTGGATGCAATTATACACAATTTGATCATGTTTATATCGTATAATCACTACCACTTATTCCTGTGTTTATAGTCTCAAAAAATAATTGCTAAACTATTTTGTTCTTCACACATATGGTGATTTAAGAAAAACAATACATTTTAACTTTTACTTTTTTAAATTTTCAAATTAGATATAGTTCATTACTAAGGATTCTCCCTTATCGTATTTGGCTTAGGAAGGAGTTTTTTTTAAACAAATTACAGACCAACTCAGATGCTTGAGTCAGATGTTCCTTTCAGTATGTGTGCGCTTGCAACTTAATGAGGCATTTTAGCATTCTGCTATTTTGCCCATGTGGAAGTTTATTAACACAGTAAAAATTCTGTTTTGTGATACACCTCAGATATCCTTAGCCTTTTTTTTTTAGCTTGTTATTCTGTGAGAGAGTCTTGCTAATAACTTTTGTAGGTTGTGCTTGAACTTGTGAAACTTCTAATTTAGCTTCTGAGAGTGCTGGGATTATCCATTGCAGTGGTAATTTAGTTGTTAAAACTACATATTTATGTATCCTAATGTCTGTTCATGAACTTTATGGTTCTTTTTCCTGTAAAACATTTCAAGGAAGAAGATGTTAGCACCAAGTAGGTGATCCACAGAAATTTGTGGATTTGTTTTAATTTAGGTTCTATGGTCAAAAGTGCCACCTGGCTCCTTCCTTTTACCATGTGCACACATTTGTGACACATCTATTTGGGATGCAAAAGACAGCAATTAAAAGAATTTTATTATTTTCTATGTGTGATTATTATATTTAAAATGCACATACAGATTCTAGAAGGTAAAATTAACTGATGTATATTACATCTTACTTTAGAATTGATCAATCCCTGGGGTGCTAAGGGACCCAACCCCTGGGGTGCACTGAGACTGTGACTGAGACTGGGAGTGGTGGCACGTGCCTCTAATCCCAGCACTTGGGAAGATGAAACAGGAGAATCACAATGAGTCTGATCTGTGTAGTGAGACCCTGTAGATTCTGTACTAAATACATTATAACAAACAAACAAACAAACAAACATAAATAAATAAATAAATAAATAAAATTGAAACCAAGGATTAAGAATGCTTTAACTCTTTACCAGGAGCTTGTAGTCCCCCAGTATAGAGGATTTGTCAATCACAAAAAGGCCTAGGGAATTGTCTGCCATGCTCTGTACAAAGTAGTCTGATCAGCTGGTTTGCCTGGGCCACACCAAGTGAAGAATAGCTGTCATGGGCCACACATGTTAAGTATTACATAGTTAATATATGTCAGTAACAAAAAGCTTCCTAATTTTTTAAGTCTTCATGATAACAATAAAAAGTCCCAAGAGTACTAATTAAATAAGAAAACTTACATGTCTGCTTAAGAGCAATAAATGCCTCTCCTCACTGAGATACACAGAGGTAGATTGAAATACTAGTATCAATAAGGTTGCATTTTCCATGACACACTGCACAAGCACAGGCAGTGTGTGACATGAGGATTTCTATTGGATGAGCTGTGTAACAGGTACAATACAGAGTTCTGATGTTACCTGCACAGTTGCTAGAGGGTCACACAATTGAGTCACGAGGGATACTGCCACAAATTTTTCAGCGTCTCTGGGATGGCTGTCTTTAAAGAAGACCATTTGTCTCCATTTTGGCCATATGTAGCCCTAATTCCATGTATTGATATGTCCAGAGCTCGGTAGGGTGGTGTGTCACCCCCTCACTTGGCTTGAAGCAATGCAACAGGTCAGAGATGCTTTGCCTAAAGTTCTCTACTACTAAGTTTGAGCTAGGCTGTGAGATACCACTCTGCTGGATGAGACTGATGCTGAGGAAAGAACCTGTGACATCTCAGAGCAAAGAGGCCAGACATCAAAGCTGAGGCTCTGAGCAAAACCACAGAACACTTCCTCAAACTGTGTTATGCAGATTCTTCCAAACTCAAAGGCTACCTGTTACTGGAATCTGGTAATCTTTCTGCATGCCTCTCTCTGCTTATTGCAGAGGTGCTACTGGGCCTCCTACCCAGCCTGGTTCACAGTACTCATGTGCACTCCACCTTTCTCATAGTTACTGACCCCTGAGCCACACTCCTCTCCATATATTAATCAAATCTGGGTTGGCCCTCAGTTATGGCCTTAGTTCCAGTTAGTCATTGTTCTGACTGTACTTTGGAATCCCTTGACAGCTCCCAATTACAGATCTGTGTTTGTCTGTGTTCCTTCTGTGGCTTGCACTAGAAGTGGATGATTGGAATTCCTACTGCAATGCCTTTTCCCTGGGTATACAAACGTGGTCTTCTGTGGATCGTAACAAGACCAGAGTGGGTTTGCTATAACAAATAAGATAACAAAATTAAATAGTTGACAGCAACCTTCTTGGGTAGAGGAACCCAGGTGGCTGGCTCATGCTCCTGCACTTTGGGAGCAGGCCACTGGGGGCTGACAACCACACAGTAGGACCTGGATATTAGAACCAATATGCTGGGAAGCTTTGAATAATAATGTACTAATTGATATTTATCTCAGACATTGTAGACTCTTAAAATTTCATTGGATAATGAAGGTCAAATACAATTCCTCAGATGTTCACTTAGATTAAACAATAGTAGTTTATTTTCAATAAACATATACATACTATTAACTTCAAGGCACATCATCACAGTCCAGTCCCTGAGCACACTCAGGTGCAGGGATGAGTAACTGAAGAATAATCCACTTGGAACTGGATCTGGGCAAAGACCCAAAGAAGCTTCCAGGGAATCTTACCAGCACTAACACTTGCATTTCAATAAAAGAGCAAGAGAAAACCCGCCCACTATTAAGCTCACCACTCAGAAGTGCTTCACAGGAGCTACAGGAATGACAATGGTTACAACCGGAAAGATAAACCATGCCATCAAAGTTGGGGCACGGAAGTGTGGGCAAAAAGTGGCCAACAGGCTCACATATTTTTCATTGGTAAGAGCAGGTACTCTGACTTGAGCTGCTATTCTTTAAAATGTGAAGACTAATTTTATTTGTTGAAATTTCTTGTGATTGATTCAACAATTATAGAACATTATATTCACTGAAAATGCAGAGGTACTTTAGAGACAGATTGCGTCGTGACAGTGGGTTTCAGATTTAGGCTTATCTGTGTGATTTCCTGTCCTGTGGGCTCTCTTCTGCATAAACTTTCCAAATACCTCGCTCTGTCCTGCTTGGTCCCCTGTGCCATGGCTGAGCTTGAAGATCTCCCATCACCTCCTCGAATGCCCACTGCTGCGCTCCTGGGAATCATCCTCCTTATGGTGAAGGCCTCCATGCTGGTGACAGTGGCTGTCGTTATTCTCGGTATGTACGTTTTTGAGACCATAAAGGGCCATTCTTGATAGAAAATGCCTTTAAACATTCCAAATTATTAGGAAAAAGAGTTCTTATTTTAATTCATATATTTGAATGGAATGTGGAATTGTCATCCTGAATTCATCAAAAATATAAATACGGAAAGATTTTAGCTTGCAAGTTTAATATTTCTGTATATATCATAATTACATAAGCAAATATATACCATAGAATGCTGAAACACTTATTAAGAAATACAATTAAGTTTTGAAAGTTGAAATGTAAAGTATGGTGCTGCGGCAGATACTGACTTTGAACATTTAGTCCTTTAATAAAGTATTCTTCTCAGTATTTTATTACTTTATTAATTTCTCTTGACAAAACCAATTTCTTTTTAGAAATATTTTATTCATTTATTTAGTACACATGGTCTTGCTATGCAGTTCTGACTGGTAATGATTCTATCTCAGCCTCACCAGCACTGGGATTACAGGCATGTGCCACCACACCTGGTTTTGGTGGCCTGCACAGTGTGCCCAGGGTTCTGGGGTCCTTGCACTTAGACCACTGAGCTATCTCTCCAGTCTGATAAAACTTATTTTATTCTACATTATCCTAATTCATAAAAGTTTTATATTTAAAATGAAGAAACTAAATTAACTCTTCTTTCCAAAGTTAATTTTATAAGAATTTCCTTAATTGGGCTGGCCAAATAGCTCAGCAGACTAAAGTGCCTGCTTAGACAGGGACTGGAATTCAATCCCCTGTGTGCCGCGCCAGCCTTGCCCCCAGGGCACACTGAGAGGGCGATTGAGACTGGGCATGGTGTGCGCACCTATAATGCCAGCACTTGGGAAGTGAAATTATAAGGATGTCTATGAGTATGATGTATGTAGTGAGACCCTGTAGTCCCTGTACTAAAATACATTTAAAAAATTTCTTTAAAACTTCTTACTGCCTAATATAGGAGCAAAACAACTCTTCCTTGATCTGTCTATCTATCTATCTGTCTATCTATCTATCTATCTATCTATCTATCTATCTATCTATCTATCATCTATCTATCTACCTATCTAAGTTCTTATATTTGTAGACTTTATTTTCTTTCTAGCAGAAGTCTTTCTACATGATAATAGATTTCCTTCAGTGCAAACTAAAGAGATGGGTTCAAGATGCTCATATAATACTGCGGTAATGTAAAATTTCTTACCGGTATAAAGTGAGATATAACTGTCTTATTCTAGAGGAGTGGTTTGCTTCACTGATTTTTTTTTGTGCTTCTTTGTATCAGTGTTTTATTTTTTAATATGTGGCAACCAGTGGTAGTACACGTACTCAGATATACTGAGGTGCAGACGTAATGTACAGTGAGTGTTTAAATAAAACTTTATTACAGAAAGACACACTGCCACTAACCCTCATCAAATATGCCCCTTCTTTCCAGTTCATTTATTCGGCCATTATTCCCACTTTCTGAAGCAGCCTTCATTCGTGTATTTATTTTCAGTTGCATCAATATCCTGAATGAATTCAAAATATGTATGGCAATTTTTGTTAAAATCCTATGTGTG